GTTATTGGACATGCTGGGCACAGCCATTTGCTGCCCGAAGGGCGTAACGGACGGCTTGTTCTGAGCGTAGACCGGGAAGGCGGGCCCTGCAGGAGGAAAGAGGGGAAGGAGTTTGGCTTCACTTCACAGGATTTCTACCATTTCAACGCAGAGGGAAAACAAAGAGCAAAACCCCAGCATGTTAGGTTGCATTTAGGTGTGAAAAAAACCTTCACACACTGGAAAAAAAATCTAAATCTAGATAAGTCATTTTTTGTTCTTAAAATAAGTGCATTTGTTCTTGGATTGAGGAGGTAAAACAGCCAATGGAACAAGATAATTTACATTTAAAATAAGAAAACATAAAAACATTGTCTTATTTCAAGTGCATTTTATCTAATTATCTCTCTTTTAAGAGTAAAAATCCTCATTCCATTGGCAAACTCTCTCATTTACCTACTCAATTAATGGTAAATACAATTAATTTAATACATTTTTACTATTCTTTCTAGATCGTTGTTCCAGTGCAGTCTTAGTTTTTCTGATTGGTCCAACTTTGCACCCTGAATGCAACCTTTAACCCCTTGATGCCTGAATTTATATACATGTGTTTTAAAAAAAACTCAGTTTCCTCTAACTAGTTGCCAAATTGACATTTTATTTTTACTTTCTATGTATTTTAAAAGATAAATAGAAATGTATGTATATTACAAAAAAAATTTTATATGATCATTTATAGCTTTCAATGCTATATTACTTCAAGGATCAGTAGAAATGAAAACAAGAGTTAACCAAAGCTTCCACAGTGAATGTGTAACAACAGACATTGGGGGAATCCATAAACTATTTTATTAAAATGGTTTGTTGCACTTTTTCACAACGGCTGGCGAGGGGTTAATAACTGTCCAGCATCTGCCAAGAGAAACGCCTGTCTAAGCAGATGTTGGAAAGAAAACGGGATCAGAAAGGATGGAGGGGGCGGGGCACTAACCATTGGACTGAGGGTGATAGGCTCCAGGCTGAGAGTAGGGAATGGGGGCCTGGCCGGGGAATTGCTGCTGGAAGTTTCCGCTGAAACTGGTCGGGAGGCAGTAGGAAGAGGCGTTCCCAAAGCCGGAAGGCATGCTCATAGAGCCGGTACCGAACGAGGCTACAGGACGAAGCAACAGTACACACACACACACACACACACACACAGATACTTTAGATACTTAGCATAGCACTAGCCTACTGGTCAATGTAACACAGTTACATCAATATCAAACTAGTCACTGGTGAGAAACAAATTATTTTCCCCACATTTTGAAAGTTCTCACCTGCAGCTGGACCTCTGCTGTTGGTCTGGAAGGGGTTGGACGCCATGTCAGGGGCTATTGCTGCAGCAACAAAAGGATTTGTGGATGGAACCGCTAAGACAAAACAGAAAGTCAGTCAGTAGCTGATAGACGGACTTCAGCTCAGTAACTGGAACAGTGACGGTCACCTCCAAAGCCAGGCTGCATGTTGGCCATCACAGGTTGGCTCTGAGCGGGCGAAGAACTGAGGACGGGTCCGAAAACCGCCCTGAAGGAAAACAAAACCAGATCCATGATCAGCACTCAGACGATTCTTCTGTTCTACCGGATTCGGTTCTGATCAAGCAACACAAATAATTTTGTTAAGCTACGTTCCAAACTGCAGGCCTTGATGCTCAATTACGATTTTTTTGGGGGGAAATCCGATTATTTTCAGCGGTCGCTCATATTTCCAAATAAATGTGACTGCATGTGATCTCCTGTTTGAATGAATTCGCACAACTTAAGTTTTTCGCATGAGCAGTAGAGGACGCAACGACGTTATTTACACAAGTAAACATGGATGGTAGTGCTGGAGAGCATCCTTCATTTCGTTCCCAACCTCAGCCGCCATTAAAGGAAAAAGTCGCTCATATTCAGAATTCAAACTTCTGAAAGTTCTTTAAATCTGAAATGATTCCATCCTGTTCAATAAATGATCA